AAAATGAGCAAATTGGATAGAAGTATGGGGGGACAAAAAAGAAGCCTGGAAAACAGAGAAGTGAGGTTTGAGGAATTTGTAATAATGCCCAACATTTTGGGAACTTAGAGTGCAGTTGTAGGGAAAAAAAAAAAAAAGACTGGTGGGAATCACCAGTGAGGATCAGAGTAGGTGAAGCAGTCTAAGAACAGGATGTCGAACATGTAATATTCAGTTGTTGTCAACACTGTGATATAAAATCACTATTACTAGTCAGGTGCCAGTGTCTCCCACCTGTAATCCTAGCTACCTGGGAGGCAGAGATCAGGAGGATCACAGTTCAAAGCCAGCCCAGGGAACTAGTTTTGAGATCCTGTCTCAAAAAATACCCAACACAAAACAGGCATGGTGGAGTGGCTCAAGTGATAAGAGTGCCTGCCTAGCAAGCATGAGGTCCTGAGTTCAAACCCCAGTACAGTAAAAAAAAAAAAAAAAAAAAAAATCACAATTATCTCAAACAGTAAAAATGTCACATGCTTTGAGGATTAGAAGATTAAAAGAAGGGCTGAGTTCCTTGGTGAAAGGGTGTGGAGCAAGGAGTAGGACAAAGTCAAGGGAGACAGGATAAGGCTGGATCTGAACTCCAGTGGCCTTGTCCTTTGCTTTTAATTATGTTGTCACACTGCCCTCTAATGGGCTGCTGCTATCTTGCCAGCTTTAATTTCTGGCTTCGGAACCACCTGGCTGACTCCACCATCTGCAGACAATTTCCTGTACCTGCTAACAAAGTCTGTGTTAGGCTGGAGGCCTATGGAGTAGTTGGGACTGACTAAGCTGTTTACTTTAGCATTTTTGAAAAATTCGGGGAAGTTTCTAATTATGATAAAGAGGCTTCCGATCAGAGCTGGATGTTTTCTATTAACGTTGGATCTGCTCAGCACTAGGATCTGAAGGCATGGTAATGGCAGCTTGGCAATGATTGGTAATCAAAACACTGGCATAAAAAGATACTGACACATGGTATAAAATAGTCTGAATGACCTTTTCAGGAACTATTTTTGGGTATTAATTTAATCCAAATAAACTCCCTTTCATTAGTGACTTTAAGTTAGAGCAATGCCAGCCACTACCTGGCTGTCACTGGGCAGTGATTCTGATGAGGAAACTGTGCCAACTAAGCCTTGTGTATTGGATGGGTTACTTACAAATCTTGGTTGCAACAGTACCAATTCAGAGCTGCTTAAATCCTTGTTAATCCAGACTTTCCAAGTAAAAGAAAACGGAACCCGAGTCCAGGAGATGTATGATGTAACAAGTGTCACACTAGGGCAGTGGGGGAAACCAGCTCAGTGTGACACTACTACTGTCCCTAGTGCTTTTTGGAGAAGGGCTAGTCACTGTTCTCCACATTTCCTCCCTGCCCTCCAGCAAGGTCCAAATGCCGGATTCATACTTGATAAATATGTGTGGAATAAATGAGGGAGCCAGTGAGAAACAAGGCAGGATATGGAGATGATTTTGCCAACAGTCTGTTTTTATCCTAGCTCTGCATCATGCTAGCTGTACTCATTTACCCCTTTACCTAAATCCCCGGAGCCTCAGTTTCCACATCTGTAAACCTATCCCACAAGGCTATTATAAAACGCTTAGCATAGTGCCTCACACAAAATAAGCACTCAATAAACAATAGTTTGATAATATTGTGTGAAAAGGACAGTGACAAGATGGAAAGATGAACGTGATTATGGGGATTAGAATTCTTAAGTGCTATACATGTCCATTTGTATGCTTATTTGAATGATTATAGAATTAGAGAAAAAAATTTTGGTGGTACTGGGATTTGAACTCAGGGCCTCACGCTTGCTGAGCAGGTCCACTTGAGTCACCTTGCCAGCCTTTTCTTTGTGCTGGGTATTTTCAAGATAGGGTCTCATGAGCCAGCCTGGGCTGGCTTCGAACCTCGATCCTACTGAACTCTGCCTCCTGAGTAGTTAGGATTATAGGTGTGAGCTACTGGCACTTGGGTGAGAAAAAATTTTAAGGTGAATAAAGGAGCTTACTTTATTCTCTTAAACCGATTTATTCCATGTGGTTGGAAATATCGTTTCTGGGGACAGTGATTCACATTCTTACATTCCATAATCAGACAGAAAAAAATCTCTCTGTTCAAACTAAAATTAGAAAATCCTCAGGGAATGACTCTTTATAGCCCTGTTTGGGTCAGCTCCATCCCTAGACCAGTCACTGTAAACAGGCATAGCAGGCAGAAGAATGGACCTTCAAACCTGTCCATATCCTTCTGGGTGTGGTGGTCCAAGCCTGTAATTCCAGACTGGGCAAAAGCATGGGAACTTATCTGAAAAACAAGCTGAATGCTAAAGGACTGGGGGCATGGCTCAAGTTGTAGAACACTTGCCTAGCAAGTGTGAGGCCCTGAGTTCAATCCCCAGTACCGTTTCCCATTACTCCCAAAATATCCATATCCTAATCCCTGGAACCTGTGAACTTTAAGTGGCAAAAGAGACTCTGCAGGTGAGAATACAGGTAATGGCAAGATTATCCTGGTTTGGAGTGGGGTGTGTCTGTTTGTGTGGGGAAATCAAATTATGACCTCTTAAAAGCAAAGAACAAGTCAGGCACAGGTGGCTCACACCTATCTATAATCCTAGCTACTTTGGAACTGGGGTCAGAAGGATCAAGGTTCTAGGTCATCCTGAGCAAATAGTTCAAGAGACCCCATCTCCAAAATACCCAGAGCAAAATGGACTGGAGGTGTGGCTCAAGTGATAGAGCACCTGCTTTGCAAGCATGAAGGCCTGACTTCAAACCCCAGTCCCCACAACCCAACCTCTAAGTAAATAACATTTCCTGGCTATTCTTAAAGAGAAGTCTGATGACAGAAGGGTTAGACAAAGGTGACATTGCTAGCTTTGATGATGTTGGAAGGAGGTCACAAGGAGTGAGAGTATCCTCTAGAATGTGGAAAAGGCCACGAGATGAGTTCTCCCATGTGTGTAGCCCTTATGACACCTTGAGTTTAACCCAGCGAGTTCCGGGTCTGACTTCTGATGGAGAGAAGAGTACCATAATACATTTTTGCTGTTTTAAGCCACTAAGCTGTGGTAGTTTGTTAAGACAGCAATAAGACAGCAGGGAGACAAGGTGGTGACCTGGTTCCAATTGCTCCTCAGATCTGCTCAGCCCCATCTGCCCTGAGGCAGCTCCTAGAATGAGGTCTCACAGAGCCTCCTCTATGATCCTCTCAGCCCACCCCACAGGAATAAAGTGGCTTGAGAGAATGAATAAGATGTCACAGAGAGCAGCAGGCACAGGAGGCAGAGAGACTTCTGGTGCTGGTTCAGTCATTTTTGAGGTCAAGTAGTTTTGTTGTGTGCAACCAAAGCGTCCTGTTTAAAGCACAACCTCCCCCCACCTTTTGAGACAATGCCTGCTATGGCTTAATGTGATTCCATAGCAATCCACTCTTTGGAGGAATGTATTATCCTATTTTTTATGAGGAAAGAAATACTTTTATTGACTAAATGGTTTTCCCACAGCGAAAGTGTTCTGGACTTAAAAATGAGAAAATCCATAATTGGTTTGCTGTGTTTCCTCCAGCTAAGCACATCGCACATAGAGTATCCTGCCTTGTGTTGAAAAAAACAGTTATCAAATTAGAGCCATTCTTTCTCAAGCGCTCATCACTTCCTGCTTCTTTTCCTTTGTGCCTGATTAATATGATGTCCTAGAGTAGCTACTGGGCATTCCTGAGTGGTGGTGGAATGATAGGAAGACTGTTTGAGTGCTGGTCATGAGATCATTCCTTCTTTTCCAGAAAGATAAATGCTCCTCCAAGGCCCTAGGTCTTCCATTCCAAGAGAAAAATTACAGTTTAAATGGAAATGTATAATACCATACTATTCATGACATTTTGCCTTCTGGAATACATATATATGCTTGCTCTTCTAATTTTGTCATTAGCAAACAGGAAAAGACACAAATAATGAAAAATCAGTTGTAGTTGCATTATTTTTGTCTAAGATACTCAGACCCTTTATAGCAGTTACTGCTTATGCCATGGAACTTCACCCTGAGCTCACTCCCTTTTGTCTGCCCTTTGCTGTTGGAAGGAGTAGGGAGAGACTACTCAGACTTTTCTTTTTAAAAAAGAACAAAAGCCTCAACAGAGGGTTGAGGGTAGCAATTGACCCTCAACTGTGCAGTGGGTAGCAATTGACCACTATATAATATTATCTTTGGTGTAAAATAAGGTGACATGAATAAAACTTTGTCTGCTCTGGGTTTTTCATTTGTTTATTTTGGTGGTATTGGGGATCCAACCCAGTGCCTTGTGCGTGCTAGGCAAGAGTTCTATCACTGAGCTACATCCTCAGATGGTTTAAAAATTTTTTTTTGTTTTTGAGTTCTGAAATTTTTGTCTTTTTCTCTGAAATTTTTGATTTAAAAAGAAAAGAGCGTTTCAGTGAATTTTAAGTATGAAGCAGTAAAAGAATCAGGGCCATTGTGTATCAGCATAGTTTAAAGTCAAGAAGGATTTTTCTTACACAAAATAGAGTTTATTTCAGTCAGTAAACCTGTTAGCTGGCAAAAGAGGGCAGGGGAGAAAAGTAAAGATCCCAATGTTTTGAAAGCCATTAACATGCTAACAACATCCATCCTAGTTGTGATACTTATCTGTCACTTTTTGCATGTTGATGTTCCAGATTTCTCAGGGAGGACAGATATAAGAAGTACCTCTTCCCTCCCTGTCTCCCCGCAGTGGCCCCTAGCCTTGCGACAGGCCTGGGCAGAACATCCCCAATCCAGGATCCATTCCCTCTCGCTCCACGCCCGCGACGCCGCACAGCCTTCTGGAAGCTGTAGGCGTGCGAGTTCCGCGCTAAAACCACAACTCCCGGCAGGCTCTGCTTTTCCACTCCCTTGAGGCGCATGGCCTGCCGGGAGGGGGCAGAGAGCTGCCGGCCCGGGCCAATGGGGGCGGGCTCCCGAGGATAGGGCGGAGGAGAAGAGGAAGGAGGCTGATTCCGGGCTGGGTCCCCATTCATTGCCGCGGCCAGCCGGGCGGGGGTCCCGAGGTTTTCCGAGCCATGGAGGCGCTAATCCCTGTTATCAACAAGCTCCAGGACGTCTTCAACACGGTGGGCGCGGACATCATCCAGCTGCCCCAGATCGTCGTGGTAGGAACTCAGGTGAGAGCCGCGGGCAGGCCTGGTCAGGGCCGCGGCAGTGCGGTCCCGTGCGGGCATTCGTGGCCTGCGAGGAGGGCCTGCTGGAACTCCGAGCACCCGGGCTGCATGGCAGCGGTGGGGAAGCCGAGGCCCGGTGGGGCGGCGAGGGGCGGAGCCAGGCAGCCGTCTTAGCGGCCCGAGGGCGGGCCTGGGCGGGGAAGTCGGGCCGCAGAACCCGAGGCCGCGGGGACCGGGCGCGGCCGGGGCCGGGGCACGGCTTCCAAGGGCACCTCGGGGACACGGGGCGGGCGAGGCTGCGCCGGCCAGGTGGGCTTCGGCGGCGGGGGCGCGTTCACGACCGGCCCTGCCCAGGGCCGAGGGCCGCTCGGTCCACGCAGGGGTCACGCGCCCGCGACGCCCGAGCTGCTGGAAAATAAGACCAGGGGAGATTTAAACCCCCGGCACCTGCGGTCCGTGGTGGCAGGACCGGCCATTTGGGTTTTTATTTCCACAGTTTTGTGGTTCTGACCTAAATTTGGCATCTGGTTTTCTGGCCTTTTCGTGTTGGTCCCTTGTAGATAGGTCATAATGTTTTATATGCGAGAAATGTTTGGAAATGCACCTCGGTGACAGAAGTACAAGGGTCATTTTGTCTGCCTGCTTTTCTAGATCAAAGAGGAACCCGAGGACTAAAAGTTGAGAGGAACGCGTTTTGGAGATGAGTATAGATTTAAGCGCTCTGGTGTCTTAATAGCTTATGTCCATTTTGCTGGAGGTGCATCGCTACATCTTGCTACAAAATGAAAGTGTATAGTATAAATATTACGAGAGGGACGTAATGTCCAGAATATTAGAGGATATCCAGACACCGCAAACCCTGGGAACCAGAGACCTGTGCTTTATTTTTTGTATTTGGTTTTTAAGTAGTTAAAGCAAGAGATACTGTTTTTCAAACAGATTTCCCTGATCTACTCAGGATGAATACAGTCTGCTCAGTCCTGCCTACATAATCTAGTATGTTTAACACTTATTATTTTCAATGATTGGTGACTGTAAGTCATCGAACAATAAATCATGAACAGTATTTTTACTGAGCAAATATTAAATGAAAATATTAAGCAAATAAAGTTTTATTTTCTGAAATACTTTGTTCAGTCTGGGACATGTATAGGTGCTTTACATGTATTTTGAATGAATGAATATTGCTCAATGTTACTACAAAATATTTTAAAACACAGGACTTCTATCATCAAAACTGACATGTTTTTGTCAACAGAATGGGAAGAGATGATAGAAATTAAAATTTCTTCCTTAGTAATTTGATAGCGTTGTCTAGCTGCAGACCATATACTTTAAAGAGCGTTTCAGTGAATTTTAAGTATGAAGCAGTAAAAGAATCAGGGCTATTGTGTATCAGCATAAATAGTTTAAAGTCAAGAAGGATTTTTCTTACACAAAATAGAGTTTATTTCAGTCAGTAAACCTGTTAGCTGGCAAAAGAGGGCAGGGGCGTTTTGAAAGCCATTAACATGCTAACAACATCCATCCTAGTTGTGATACTTATCTGTCACTTTTTGCATGTTGATGTTCCAGATTTCTCAGGGAACTGACTCCCTCCAACTCCTCATTGGCTGAAATTCAGTCCTTCATAAAGTACAGAAGAAATAAAGATAGAAACAATTTCCTTTTCCCCATATTTAGTACATCATTACTTTGTCATCTGTGCCACTTTTTACTCTCTGATGTTGAGTAACAAAACATAGCACACAGCCGGGCACAGGTGGCTCCTGCCTGTAATCCTAAACTACTCAGGAGGCAAGATCAGGAGGATTGGGGTTCGAAGCCACCTCCGGGGAAATTGTTTGAGAGACCCTATCTCGAAAAAACCCATCACCAAAAATGGGGGAGGGGGTGTGGCTGGTGGAGTGGTTCAAGGTGTAGGCCCTGAGATCAAGCCCCAATACTAAAAAGAATAACCAAAACCATAGCATACATTTCATATTCTTACTCAGTGGAGTAATGTGCACTGGGGGTGAGTTGCAGACATGAGTTCATCTAAGTTTCTGCACTTCCTCTGACCAGCAGGTTTCCTAGTGGTGGTGGTCATGTCTCTGTAAACAGGTAGAATCTATCTTATGCATTAAACGGCTGCAGGTCCCATCTTGTTGAGTTTCTTAAAACAGTGATTCTCAACTTGAGTGTGTGTAAGAATCATTTTAAAAATAAATTTCTTGTCTCCTATCCCCAGGGATTTAGATTTTAAGTCTGACATGAGCATGGTATAATAGGTGGTTCTGATAGAGATGGTTCATAGAACCTAAACTGGAAAGTGTATCAGTGAATCTTTGAATTTGAAAAGGCAGGAATAGTTCAGGGAAGCTGAGAGTAAATGCATACTATCACTCAGTACTGCCATGTTGATTTTGGTTGTCTTCTTGGTCCAAAACTTCAGTTCTCAGGCAACCTTTGCCAACTCCTAACTGTATTGAATCTTGATTTCTTAAATTGCCCAAATAATACTTTCTTGGGAGCCAGGAAGTTAGAGGACTTGAGGAGACTCATGTTTATAGTTATCAACATTTTTTATTACTTAGCTAAATAAATTGCTTTCCTCTTTCTCTAGCTGAGATGGTCTGTGTGGAAAGAACAGAGAATGGGGAGAGAGAAGGCTGATAATTTTGGACTATGGTATATGTACTTTGCAGGTAGAGGAGGACATAAGACTTAAAGCAACTTTTGTGACTCAGCTTGAGAAATTTAATCACCATTTCTTAAATTGAGAATTGGAAGGGGGAGTTCTCCAGGTATGTAATCCAACCACCACTTAGAACAGGCGTCACAATGCAGATGACATTAACCTGACACTGTGGCTTAGTGTTGCTGTATATGTACTTTCACTTTGCCTTTTATTTCAGTGATTTTAGCACTCCATCTTTAGTAAATAAAACAAATGTGAAAGAAAAAGGGATTTGGATTTTATTGCCTTTTTTTTTTTTTGGTGGTGGTATTGGGGTTTTGAACTCAGGGCCTTGGCTTGCTGGCCAAGTACTTCACCACTTGAGCCACACTTCTACCTGGGGATTTGGATTTTAAGAGCCAATTTATAAGCCAACTTTAAAAAATGTACATTTAGAAAGTCAAAATGTTCATATAACATAAAGCTCACCATTGTGAAGCATATAGTTCCGTGGATCTCAGTATGGTTAGAAGGTTATGCGACCATCACGACTGGAGTCCTGAACATTTTTGCTACCCTCACCCATTTTGCCTACCTCTAACCCCTGGCAGTGAAATCTGTCTGTCAGTTTTCCTATTGTAGACATTTCACATAAATGGAATTATACAACATATGATATTTTGTGTCTGGCTTCTTTTGTTCAACATGTTTTGTAAATTCATCCATATTGTGGTATAGATTAGTACAGGTTGAGTATTTCTAATCCAAAACAACCTAAACAAGAAAATGCTCCAGTATCTAAAACTTTTTGAGTGCAAACATGACATCACAAAGTGAAAAACATGACACCTGACCTAATATGACAATTTGTAGTCAAAATGGAAGCATTAAAAATATTGATAAAATTACCTTCAGGCTACGTGTAGATGGTGTATATGAAACAAATTTTGTGTTTAGATTTGAATTTCATCCCCAAGATAGTCTCATTTTACATATATGTAAATATTCCAACGTCTAAAAAAAAATACCAAAAGCAAAACACTTCCTTTAGTCCCAAGCATTTCAGATAAAGGATATCCTGTTTTTCATTGTTTTTTATGGCTGAATAATGTTCCATTGTATAGATTTACCACAGCTTGTTTATCCATTCAGCAGTTGATGGACATTGTTTTTCCACTTTCTGACTACTATAAATAATGCTGCTATGAACATTTCAAGTTTTTGTGTGAACATATTTTCAGTTCTCTTGGGAGTAGTAGAAGACCTGCTGGGTTAAACAGTAACCACAATGTTAAGTTTTTGAAGAACTGCCAACCTTCTCCCCCAGTAGCTGCCCATTTTACTTTCCCTCCAGTAGTGGTAAGGATTTCACATTTTATATACCTTTACCAACATTTGTTATTGTCTCCTTTTTTAATGTGTGAAGTCATCCTGGAGTTCTTAATTTAAAAAAACAAAGCACTTTTAAACCCCTGTTCAATTCTTATGGCCAGCTCTGTAGTTTGATGCCTCTTTTTTCTCCTCTTGAGTACTGCTCGTCTTTATTTTAGTTCCTTCTGAAATCTTGGCCTCACTGCCTGATACTGTCCTGTGTCTGGAGAGGGTAGAGGTAATGGCTTTATTAGGTTTAGTCTTTGGTGCTAAATAGTGATTTTAGTTCTCATTCTTTCTGATGCATTGTTTTCCTGAATATTCTTATAAAAACTTGTTTTCTCTTTCCTTTTTAAATTTTATTTATTTATTTTTGGTAGTATCTTTGAATAGATCATGAACTACACTTTTTTTCCCCCTTGAGATAGGGCTTGCTGTATAGCCCAGGATGCCCTTGATCTCACCATCCTGCCTCAGCCTCCCAAATGCTGGAATAGCAGGCACGTGCCACCACACTTGGCTTGCTTCCTTTTTTAACTTAAAAAAATTGTGAAACTTACATGACATAAAATTAGCCATCGTAAAGACACAATCCTGTGGCATTCAATATATTCACAATGTGAAGCTACCACCTCTGTCTTGGCCCAAAACATTTTCATTCCAAAGGAAAACTCTGTACCCATAAAGCAGTCACTTCCTCTTTCTCTTCCTCCAATCCCTGGCAAGCACCAATCTACTTTCTCTCCATGGATTTACTTATTCTGGATATTGTATAGAAATGGAATCATACAATATGTGATGATTTATGTCTGGCTTTTTTCACTTTGCATAGCATAGTTCTTTCATGTAGCATGTACCAGTATTTCATTTCTTTTTATGATTGACTAAATAGTCCATTATATGTATCAGGCACATTTTGTTTATTCATTCATCTACAGATGGATAATTGGGTTGTTTCTACTTTTTAACTACC